TATAACTTCTAAAAAGGCATTTTTATAACTCTGTTCTAAACTCTTTGAATCTCTTGCAAGAGAAATTCCATTTCAATGCAGTTTTTCTAAAATCTACATACAGTAGCTATTTATTTAAAAGATGTCCATATTAATCATCTATGATCACTTCAAGTCATTTGCCGTATTTTTTTTCAGGCTCTACTGTAATGTGACTGTGCAATTTATAAGCTGACGAAAGACATAAATATTCCAAATCAATGCAGCAGTTATACATGAATCCTCTTTAAAGATTATCTCATGACAGCACAAAAAATATATTTTCCTTACTGGTGGCAACTTAGAAGAAAGGTTACGCAGCCATTGTTAAAAGAAATGAAGGTGTTGAAGTTTTCCTGTAAAACAGAAATACTGGTTTATATATCACTTTCAGTTTGCTTCGATCCGTTGCTGGAGAAAGCAAAAAATGTCTGAATTCCATCTCATGAAAGCATCCTGATGGCATCTTGTCATCTTGCAGGAGGGCACTTTGGCATTTGTGGTCTAGTTTGGGATGATGTTCAACATTTACAGTATGCTCATGATTTTTTTCTTCTCATGTGTTCTTTTGACAATTCAAACTATTGATATTCAAACTTTTGAAATGCACGCATTGACAGGCTCATTGTTATGATACAGTACATCATGCTTCAAAGTCACTCTATAGCGTGAATGTCTGTTCTGGTAATCACACCAGTGCTGGCACTACAGGGGGCACTGTGGAACAAATGGCAATACTCCAATTCAGGGGCGTAGGTACAGGTGAGCCTGACCCACCCAGTCAAAGAGAGATTGATTGTCATAGTGTTTCTAACCAATAAGAAAATGAAACAAATAAAATGGGGAGGTCAATGTGATATAATTAGCTAAATCGCTGTAATCTCTTGACATTGGAGTAAAATTACAAAATCCTGCCAGTTGTGGTGCAACATCGAGTAAGCTACTCGCATACAAGATTGCCAAAGTTAATCAGTTTAGCATGGAAAACAAATGTCATTTTAAAAAAAGCACGCCTGGAAAGTTATCGTATTCAATGCCAAGCCTCGCCGTATTCGCTTTGTGATGCACAGGAAACATCGCACGCCAACTCAGAATACATCAAAGGTAGGGCTAAGATGAATATTAGACTAAATTAGGCCTGCTTACATTATGTTATTATTTCCGTGCCAGCCGTGTTTGGCCTCTGTTAAGTTTTCTAACTTAATTGTGCTTGCAATAATTTCATTGGGATGGTTAGCATCGGCATGCCTTTGTTCATTAGTCTTTAGTTAGCTGTTTTTCAATAGAAAAATTTCACGGTAGTTTTTTTTCTTCATGTTGCTATTATATTGCTTTCGTTCTGTGTGCTGTGTGCTTTATAGCGCATATGGGTGCGTTCGTTAATTCACCCGGAATGCCCGGCAGTGCACCGGTTCGTATTTGATTGGATTTGATTTATGCATGTAAATGCATAATGTAAGAGGAACAGGCCTCAGAAATGGACTGTTCAGAGACTGCAGTCAGAACACCACAAAAAACATTTAGACAATGCCTGCAGTAGCCTCTTAATTGTGACTACACAAACATATGATGTGCTGCTATGCCCATTTGAGAGTGCAGGCTTCCCAATTGGGCAAATGCTTGTGTACCTGCGTATGCAGGGCCAAGGTGGCTTTTCGCAATAAGAATAAATTACTCTTTAATTATTATTTTAACTTGTCTTAAGTTCTGTTTTTTTACAACGGTTTGAACAAGATTGAAATTTAAATGTCATGTCATGTAGGACAGAGTTGAGTTTGTTGGTTGGGAGTGATGTGTGTGTTGTTGGGGAGGTGGGGCTGAAAATCTATAGCCCTGGGGCCTGTGATAGTCTTAATGTGACCCTGGTCATGAGTCCAGTGGTTTACCCACTATGCTCGTGAAGAGGATAGAGACAGACACAAACAGTCATAGATACAAAGGAAAGAAATTGGAAACATTGAGGGTGGCTGATGAGACAGCACAGAGACGCATTGGTAATATGAACTATCTGCTTGGGGTTTGTGTCCTCTCCCCATGTTTGAATGGCTGTCCAGGTGGTGCTCCCCTTTTCTCTCACTGTCCAAAGACATGCTGGTAGCTTAACTGGATTCTGGGAAAATTGACCCTGGTGTGTGTGTTTGTCTCTGCCTTGCGATGGACTGGTGTCCTGTCCAGGGTGTACCCTGCCTTGCACCTGTTGCTTGCCAGCATAGATACTGTACCCTGTACTATATAAAAAGGTTAAGTAAATTGATGGATGGATGGATGCATATACACTGACCTACATTAGACAATAGTTTATTTAATGTTTGTTATCTCACTCAACAGTGATCTACTGCCATGTCATTGTTGTGAAAAAGCCATTTAACAATAGATCTGTTTATTAAAAATAAAATTTCTAATGCTTACTATTTGTGAACAACAGGGAAGAACTTAAAATGAACATGGTGCCTTTAATGTATCTCCAAATATGTAGACAAAGCAGATCTGTAGCGTGGCATTTGGGCATACTAAACTGATTATGCAAACAGATCAATGAAGGCAATGCAGTGCTGAACAAACGAGTCAGTGAGTCAGTGGTATCACACTGTACCTGGGAGAGGGAGTCTGTACTGACAGTGATGCATTCCACATTCAGGGGACCTTAGGATAACACAGACTCTGAGCTCTTTATTTGAAATTTAATGGGAGCAACAAACACAGCATTTGTTGGAAAATAATAATGAACAAATCTCTCCTGTGAGATGTTCCAATGAAACTGATCAGAATACTGATGCTTTTCTCCCATGTAATGTTGTTGTACAGTACAGAACAAAATATCCCTCAAGGTGCAATAGATTCTGAGTTGTTTTGCTTCGGATTCCCTTTAACCACTGAAGTTGTTAAAGTCAGTCAGGATTTCCCTAGGAGAACTTATTTTCTTCTCAGAAAAAATGCTAAAAATCTTATCCTATAGGGTTCCTATAAAGAGTCTCAGCTTTCTTAATTTAGTGTTTACATTAACACCTTGCCCTACTAAATCTTCACTCTAGTAAACAAATCCTTCTTATTCAATTACATTACTACTTGCCATTAAATTCGATTTTCTTTCCTTGACAGTAACGGTGGCCTAGTAATGATGACAATATCTCTCTGGTGAAACATTCTCCTGTCACTTCTTGATCTGTCTAGAAGCTATTGTGACTTGCGGGATTGGCTAAATGTTTGTAGTTCCCAGCAAATTCCTTAAGTCAGTTAACATGGCTAAAAGGCCAAATGATCAAAACCATGGTAATTAACTCTGGATATTCTTTTTCTGTTAAATCATTGAGGTAGCCCATTTAGAATATAAATACACAACAGTGAATGGGCATTATATAATTATAATTCATTATAATTAATTTTGAAGTTAAAGGGAATGGTGAATTTTATTTAAAAATAACACAAAATAAAAGTATTACATATGCTGTCTCTATAACTTTTTACCTTCTTATCACATTAATTAGAATTCAACCAAACTATTGCATTATTTTGTTTCTCAAAATCATTTATCATGCAATAAACACTGAGATTTAAAATGGGTTCAGTAGTTCAGTAGCTGAGAAATGTAAATTGCAGCTGGGATACAGATGGGGGGCTTTTCAGTACAACTGCAATTAAGTGCAACAATGCAAATGGGTATTTGAAACATGGTCAATATTACAGCTTAGAGTCAGAGGAGAACGGTGTTTGCGACTCTGAACCCATAGCTGTCGATTTGCCTAGACACCTTTGACAATGTTATTCTGCATTCTTCTGTCACCACCACTGTACACTGTAAAGGCAACTGCAATGGTTATTAAGCAACAGCAGTTTCCCTTTAGGAATCTTATCCAGGCAGTAACTTTGTACTCTCATTTCCTACATAACAACAGAAACTGAGACAAATTCTGGGCTGTAACCCACTAATCGTTATAAGACCCAACACAACTTTGTCTCAGAGAGCTAGAAGTTGGGATGGAACAGGGCCTCAATAATTGTGAAGGTGTTAAGAAAGGGCAGACAGAGCAGGGTATTTATTAGGGTATTTTTAGAACCACGAGTGGTAGCTGGGATCATATACTGTGTCTCATTCAGGTTCTTTTTTGTCAAAAATGAGTTTGTGTCTGATGGAAACCCAGGTGCATCTTATCTGAAGCAAAATGTCCAAAGACCTCAGCATTTACAGTCATACAGAAAAGTATTTAACTTGCCCTCTATGAAAGTACCCTACACTCAAGGGGTGGGTTTTGGATTCTGGGCCAAATTACCCAGCAGTTTTGCTAATACTGATACCCTGGATTTTTTCAGTAATCATCTGGATGAAATCTTTAGATCAATTAGTTACTAGTTAGAAAGCATGGCCTCCTCTCATTTGTAAACCTTGTGCATATATTCAATATTAAACGCATCTAGAAGAAATCTTACTAACATGCATAGGCTCATGATCATTGTCTGAGCCAGAAACAGTGTCACGATTATAGTCCCCCCTCCTTAAGGGTGCTCCAGCCCTTTCACTTGTGACTTTATTCTTTGCACCTGCTCCCTATCCCCAGCCCACCTTAAAAGCCAGGCGCTGACGCTCATCCGTGCTCTGCATCTGATTTCCGTATCATGCGAGTCCGGGACCTGGAAGCGCCTGGTCCCGTTAAGGTTTTAACCTCCGTTCCCGTTCCTGTTCCCCGTCCGCCGGTTCCGACCCGGCCTTCGTGGTTTTAATTCCGAGTTCTGATGGATCTCCTGGTTTTGGACTTACCCTTGCGTTTTGGATACTCTTAGGACTACTCTCTTGGATTGTTCGCCTCGGCCACACCTCCCCCGTGCACCAGCGCACCTTGGACACACCCCCCTGTCTTCAGCCCCGTTTTCCTGCATGACGTTTCCCCAGTGTTCCCCCACTCCGTCGGACTGTGTTGTCCGCATAGGGTCCGGAAAGAACTGTTCGTTACAAACAGTTTATTGTAGTTTGACACACGACAGTTATAAAGAGATGAAAAAAACAAATGTAATGTCTTTATATTTGGTCATGATAAAAGTACTGGCAACTTTTCATAAAAATTGAGTAAAAAATAACTAATTAAAATCTATTATTTGATTGATAACCATCGCACTATGATTAAATTGCATTTCAAATCACATGGCACATACTTAAATGAACATGGAGAGGTGTGACCACAAGCGCACATGAACCTTCTCACAAGGAAAGGCTTTTGTTTGGAGAATTGTTATTGACTGGCAACTAATTAATCAGCTTTAACTACTTGAATTTACAATGTCTTCTTTCATATCTGTTTGTGTTCACATACTTTATAAGAACTGCCTAGTGACAGTAGGAATGCTCCCTCAGGAAGTGGGAAAGTGCATGTCTTCTTGAAAGTAAGAGGTCCTGTGCAGGTTACAGCCTGTACATTGCAGGAGGTGTGTGTATGGGGAAGGGGGCAAGCAGAATAATAGGCAAAAATACCTCTTAGACCTTGGAGTCAGAGTGGAAAGAGTACAAAGTGTAAGTGCTCGTTGAGAATGTGCAGTTTTATCCTTAGGAATATCTATAAAATATTTCATAATCATAGCTTTGTCTAGCTGAGTACAGTGAACACATAGGAAATTATCAAGAAAATTCCAAGAAAGTCAGGAGCACTTCAGGAGCAGTCATGATAGAACTGCAAAATGCTGTGGGGAAAAAATGGCCTGGAAAAGTATCATTGGGAAGAAGGCAGGGTGGGAGCTAGAAACACATCTCAGAGCGGAAACAGGCTGGGGGAACCTCGGAGACCGGTGACTGTTTCCTTTTCACACTGACCACCAGCATGCCCGCCTCGGTCAGGGCACAACTGACCGACAGGGGATCCATATCTTCAGGAAACTGGCACTTGTGGGTGAAGGTGTTGCTAATGGTCCCATCATCAGCCAGCTGGGGAGACAGAGAGAGATGGGCAGGGCAGAGAGGGAGATTATATCCCTGTACAGTTCTGGAAATTATTGTGGAACAAAGGAAAAGTGGGTATATAACTAAAGTACCTAACACAGCTACCTGTTGCAGTTTTCCGCCAACATGTTCTAATATTGGTAATTGACAATCACTCAAGTGCAACACCATGTCAAAACCTGTATAGATACAGTATAGGCTGCTGAGGGGCCAAATCAAGATGATCAAAAGTATCTGGGTAACTACGAGCCCCCAAAATTAGTTGGTGCCAATGTGTATCTTATAGCTCTTGAAGAAATAAAAAAGCTTGAAAGGAGCCCCAAATGTTTAAAACTTTCACAGGCTTTGAGATGGTCCAGAACTTCCTGAATGATTTTTTGGCAGCCAATGACATTGTAGCATGTCCGCACAATACTGTATTAGGTAACATCAAATTTCTACACAGTGATTATCACTCTATAATGCATCGCTTGCAATACATACCCTTTCACTTATTTAAAGATTCCTTTATTAAATATTTTCTTTATTTCTGGGACTACTTCCCATGCAATGTGTCACAGGCACAGATTATGCTCAGATGACAAAATATGTTTTTGCTGGAATTTGCTGTGTGTTGGTGTTGTGTGATACAGTACATACAGTAAAATCATACTAAATGACAAGAAATAAAATATCAACCAGCAACTCAAAAACTTCAACATTTTTGTCACAAAACTACATTTTGCTCCTAAAAAGATATTGAACTTAATAATCAGTGATTAACCTTGTTAAAGAAAGAGAGTCCCCAAACAGGCATTTTTTTATAGTTAAAATACATACATATAATTTTATGAGATAATGATGACAAAAAGAGATCACTTTGTCATAGAATTCAGTAGAATAATTCACCCACCCCTCCCCTACACACACTGACGATCAGCCTGGCAGTACCTTCTCTGCATGGACAACGACGTTTTGGTTGTAAGTCATCACCACCACGTCCTGGGGCTCGAACTGACTGACGTCGGCTGACATTTGGTAGGTCTCCCCAACGGAGCGGAGCGTGCCCATGCTGGCGGGACGCCCAGTCCCAGGGCTGGCCGGACCTGCGGGCAACAAAGAGAGCACTCAGCGCCCCTCCGCATTCTGTAAAAGCCTTGGGGCACCACAGCAGCCTGGGCCTGGGGACCAGCGGTGCCTGCATTATTTCAAAATGTTTTCAAAGACAGAAACAATCATTTTCAGTGACCCTTTCTCTTCTAGAAACAAAGTGCCTGCATATGTTACACATGCCTCTTTCCTGCCACTTAAAGAGTGGGCCTCTTAATATAGCAGTGAATTAAAATGTCAAAATGCTTGCACTCCTACTGCAAAAATATTAGCCTTCTGCAGGAGCTTTTGAAGCAGAGATCCTACAGTAACTGTCAGATTCTGATGTGCGAGCTTCCATACAGTATGTGCTTGGTTTTGTGTTGCGCTTGTTAGCCTCTTAAGTCCTCTCATTTCCACACAGCAGAGCTCCATAGTTACAGGGGACGATACAAAAACAGATCATTCAGTCTGCCATGAGCTCCAAGCTTTTGTTGCTCAGAACAATTTCCCCCTTGCTTAGCTTGAATTTCTGAAGCAGAAATGACCATTTACTGTGTAAGGTGAATGCAGCATTCCCGTGTTTTCTATGGGTGATCCAGAAAGACCCCTGCCTTTTGAAACCAACAACAGCATAAGTGAGTAATGCACAAGTGGAATGTAAGAATTACAGCTATTGGTCATTCAGGTCCTCAGCTCCTCCACTGACCTGGGTATCCGAATGATTCTCGGGGATGCCGTGTGAACTGCGGATGGCGGAGCAGAGTTTCCGCTTCCTCCTCGCCAAACAGGCTGTGGGAGCCTGGGTCCATGTAGGGCTTGAAGATGGGGTCCCCCTGGGTGCTGTTCCCTGCTGGCCGGAAGGTGCTGCTATACCGCGCCGAGCGAAACGAGGAGCTGGAGGAAGGATTGCTGTGGGAAGACATCCTGTGGCAGGGGGAGAAATCCCAACCAGAGTCAAAGCCGAAGGGTGGAGAGAGTGGATGGCTTAGCACTCTACGCCTGCCTGTGCAGGGGCTCCAGCTAGATCCCTTTCCAAATTAAGAAATCGTCTCCACGCTGTCCAACCATAAGCAGACCCAGATAACGAAACATTTTTTGTCATGTGAGTTTGAAGAGCAGCGCAGATACACAGGGCACCATGGAAAGCGTGATAAACTGGAATTCTCTGATACGCTCGATGAGGTCAGCTGAGAGAGATAGGAAGAGTCAGGCAATGGATTCTTCCCTGCTTGGCACAAAAATAGCAGTATGTTTGATACTATCACGTGGGATTAGCGATAGACTTTTCTTTTATGACATTTGAAAAAGCAGAGAATCTGCAGCTTTTTAGGTTACTGTAAGCATTAGTTGTTTCTACTGTATCAGCAGTTGATAAAAGATGAGGCAGATGTTTTTAAAGCTTTGTTTTCCTTTGGCTCCAGTAAAAGTCTGGTGACAGGCCAGGCATACACAAGAACATAAATGATTTTTTTCCAAGCTTCTCAGCATCCACAATAAGCTTCTCAATATCACAAAAAGAAAAAGAAAGCATCTTTAAAAACCAAAAGGAGTAAAGGTAAAAAATCAATAGGCAGTGTGTACCCAGTCGTGGCGTGTCAGTGATGTGTCACACAAGGGTCTAATGATCTCTGGCTGCTGACTGGCAGGCCCTGGTTTCTCTCATTGATCTGCCTTTCCTCTCTGGTTTGGGCATGATACAGAGATCTGTTGCCGAATCTCACTTCGGTGTGTCCCACAGTCAGCAATCAATACTGGTCTGTTTGGGGGTGGTGGAATGGAAATTAGATTCCAGGGCACTGGATAGGAATTCAGCTCCTTCAGTCTTGTGCTCATTCACTTTCGTTAAGTCCTCTTCTTGTGAGCCCTGTTGAAGTGGGTGTCCTGTGATAGTAACACAAGCTGTTTCGCCTTGGCTTTACCTTTGATTGGTTCTCAGTGCTGGGTCTCTTGTTCTTTTTTTTCCACTTTCATTTCAACCTTTCTAAAATGAGAGGAAAAACCCGTAACTTTATCTACAAAAAGAAACTGAAGTTTTTTTGTGTTATTCACAAGTTTTAAATGCAACAGCTGCCTTTTCTTTTTCACACTGCAGGTTTCTAAAAAAAGGTTTACTACCATATATGAAAAGCAGAGCTTTGCTTTCTAGCGCAGTGACTGTTTTCTCTTAAAAGACACAATGGCTCTGAAAGATGTTCCCTATTATGCTGTATATGCCTGTTTCATTGATTAAAACTACTATTGCTATACTGAGCTGATGAACCTTAAGAAGGGCATAGCAGCTGCATGTGGCTGCTAACTTTAGATTAATTCACATGAGAAGTGCAGTTTACAGTAAATCTCTTCAAATGGTTCTGCTTTCTAGCTTTTCTAAATGGCAAAAGCAAATTCATTTTCCATTTTATCCATTTGGTAGAAACCATTATCCAAGGTGAAACCATGGAACACAATAATAACTACAACATATTTTAAATATGATAACGATTTACAGTAGATGCAAGTGTTGGGGAGGGGAGCTCATGGTCTTAATATGATTGTTAGCAAGCTGTACTGTAAGTAAGGAGTTGGAAGGTGGAGGGTAGTATTTATGTAATCTTGCCATTTCACAATTGCCCATAAAAGTATTTCTGTTGTTGTTAATGAGTTTTTAGTGTGATTTTTGTTCCAGTTTGCCATTTTCTTTCTGATGCTTTTGTAGAATTTAACTGTGATGGTTTGACATTATAACTGTATGGATATACAGTTTTGTAATGTTTTTTGTAGGAAAATAACCTGTTTGAATTGCATTGATTAATGTGCAATGGAAAAAAAAAACAATTACATGTTCCACTCATTGTTAATAACCCCTTTACTAGAAATAAAAGTTATCTGAAGGGAAATTTCAGAGCCTGTTGCCATGCATATGTAACTGTATGTTACATATGTTGCGTATGTTAAGTGTATTGAGAATGTTTATTTAGGGCTTAGGAC